GGCCCGCCCTCCCCGAGCAGGGGCTGTGCGGACCCTCCCCTTCGCCAGGAGCCCACCCGCCATGCGGAGAGGACGGGGGCGGGGACGCCGCGGGCGCAGACACCCGCAGGCTCGGGCGGGGCTGGGGGGGGCTTGGGCTGGCGGGAGGCGGGGTGCAGGAGGCCGGGCCCCGCGGGGGACAGCAGCGTGCCCTGGGGCGCACGGAGCCTCTCGGGGGCCTGCGGCCACTGCGGGGCGCAGCATCCGTCTGGCGCTGGCAGCCGCGAAGGTGCCTGGGGAGGTCGCCAGGTCCCCACGGGGGCGGGGCGGGCTTTGGCAGCATCGGGGGAGGGGGCGAGGCCCACGGCCGGGGCTCTAATCGGATCAGACGTAATCCCTGCGTTGCCCAGCCGCTAGCCCAGACCGTGCACAGCCGGGCCCGACCCAACGCGTCCCGGCGACTGGGGCGAGACCCACCCCGGGATTGCGAACTGTCTCGCCTCCTAACTCACCTCCTCACTGCCACCTGGGAAGCGGGTTTTTAATCCTTGTCCTTTCTTCGCAGGGATCTAAACCCAAACCTACTGCGGTCGGGTAGAATCCGACTCTTAGCAACCCTACAGGGCAGTAAAACCGCCCGACAGGGTTCGCCAGACTGTAAATTCCCACGACTATGGTCTTCGTCTCCAAGGTGTCCCGAGCCATCAAAACACTAGTTCCATGGTAGGGCCAGGGCACCCAGCTGGGAGCACGGGGACGTGAACCCGGCAAGCGTTAGTGTGGTTTGCACAGCCCTGTCCCACCGTCCTTGTAGGTGGCCAGGACCACTTCAGGAGCCTTCTTAGGTTGAGGCCCAGTGCCCTGTTAACGCCCAGAACTGCCCTGGCGGAGTAGAAATCGAGGCGGAGTACCTTTGCATCTGGAGGCTCAGAGAAGAGTCTTAGGACCGACCCCCAGTCCCCTCTTGACCTTTCTCAGAGTCTTCCTGATATGTAAATGTTTGACTCCACAGCCCATGGAGATTAGAGAACTCTGGTGTTTAAGAGATGCCACTCCACGGGACCATTTAGGTCACCCGTGTAAATTCTAGGTGGCCGAGTGGTGAGAAGGTGCTCTGCAATCAATCCCAAAGCCATGCGATTGGAATCCACGAACTGCTCCAAGGTTAGGCAGTCTCCTTATGTGCTGTTTACTGCTTCTGAAAACCTGCTGGAGGGTCAACTCTGAGTCAGTCCGACTGGATGGCACACAAGAACAGTGTCTCTCTTATAGGCCCTCATGTAGCATTTTGGATAAAGTGTGGTTTGAACCTACCAGAGATAGGGCATTTTGTATAGACAGAGCCTTGGGAACCCATAGGGCAGTCTTGCTTTGACCTACAGGGACGCTGAGACACAGTCATTTCCACTGCAGTGGGTCCTCTCTCATGTCCCTGGAGAGGCTGGCATCCTTGAGAACCTGTTTCTCTCGCCTGAACTGCTCTAGCCTATTTTCCTGGCCCGGCATTCCTTCCCATCCTCTTGACAAACTCAGTTCTTATATTTGGTTAAGCAGTAGTAGTTTTTGGGGGATTGGCTCCCCTGTGTGCAGAACAGCGTCTCAGCCCCGGATGGCTAGACACATATCTTGACCAGTCTAAAATTTCTTGTTTGGCAGCAGATACTGGCATGAAAGGCACAGAGAGGTTCAGTAAGGTACAAATCTTATAAACCGCACTCACGATGGCCCCAGAACCACACATCTAGAGCTCTCTGCAAAATAACGCATCTGGCTTTTCCATGAAATTCCCTGGAATTTTAAGTACAGCCAGTCAACCTAGATACCAATAAGATCAATTCTTGTGCCTTTAAGAATTTGAGGGTGAGTCAGAACTGATACATTCAGATATTTAGCCTTACTTTAGGGTAAGAAAGTTGTGGTGTGTAGTCCATTGGGAGTCGTGCTGCCAGTTTAAAGGTAGCACCTTTCTGGTGGTTTGAATTCACCAGCTGCACTGTTGGAGAAAGATGGGCTCCAATTCTATGGCAACAAGAGAGAGTGTTCATGCAAGAAAAAGGCTCAGAACCTTCCCCAGGATGTAAAAGCTGCATGTGTAGCAAGTGAAGGTGACAGACAGACTGTGGTGAAGAATTTGTTGCAAGTAGAGTTTGGTCCATTCAGTTGTTTCAAAGCAGGGCTTCGAATCAGTTAATTCCAGTTCACATCTCTTCTGAGAATTTGCATTCCCACCCCAGATAGACCAAATCACTATAAATTTATTAAGATTCCCAGGTGACTTGTATGCATGCCAAGGTGTGTGTGGGGAGATGGATGTGTATGTATATGTATTTACAAAGTATACATCCACATCCACTCATTGATGTCAAATTGAAACTAAATCTTACCTGACCCTCCACTGTGTTTTGAGGAGGCTATAAATCACATATAAAGACTGCCAGTCTTTCTTCTGAGGAACTGCTGGTGGGCTTAAACCACCAGAGAAGCGCTGCCTTTAGTTAACAGTGTCCCTACAGAGTGAGTATGCGACCAGAACGCCAAAGACATACATATTATCAACATGGACCCATCAAGGACCATCTCCCCCAATATATTCTTACAGAAATTGGCTATACGACCCTGTCTGAGCTGAGACCCCACGCTGCAGCTCTGGGTTCTGCACTTCCAGTTAAGAGGCAACTCCATACCCCTCTTTTGCCAATTTGCTTCTCTTGTCTGTAGCTATGTCAGTTTTCCTCCCTTATGTACTGGTTTGTTTCTGCTTCTTGATTTTGTGGGTGATGGCTGTCAGAGGGCCTCGGTGGGCATGCCTCCCGACCCTTCCATTCCGGAGGCACGTGTATAGGGAACACAGCCTCAATGATAGATTCCCTTGAGGTCTTCTGCATGACAAACCACTCTCACCTTTCTTATAAGAAATCTGGATGGATGGGAACCTCCTTTCACTCTTGTTAAAATTCCCACTCCATTTAAACTTTGCATCTCTTATTTTTGAGTTATTATTTAAATGCTGTGTTAAATATATCTTTAAAATGTAATCATAAATAAGCATATGGTACAAAATGAAATTTCTTTTTCCATGTCTGTGCCTCCACCACTTTCTTCCCTTTCTTGAAGACAAATTCTGTTACCATTTCAAATCAGCTGTGGCCATTCCAACAGTTCTATTCTGATCCTCCCTAGCAGAGCCCAACAGTTTTAGAATGGAGCATAGCACACCTGGGGTTGACACCTCCACAAGCTGGATGGAACATATTCAGCCAGGTGTGTGTATATAGAATTTGGCATCAGATGAAACTGTGTGACCTTCAGAGTGTGGCAGAAGCTTTATATGCAAAAGTGCTCAGTAACCCATGTGTCAAATGTTAATTTCCCCCCTCCCCCCACCTTCCTCAGTCATCTAATGTACACTGGAAAATTAAAAGCTAGAGGATTGATACATTAGAATGTTGGCCAAAAATAATGACTTTAACACATACTGCCAGAATAGTGAACAAATCTTAGCTGAGGATGGAAAGGCTTTTGTCTCACATCTCTGGGCATGTTATTAGGAGGCCAGTCTCTCAATGTGAACACCATGCTTGGAAGAACTCAATGAAATCTGGAATACTCTGAACAATATGGACTGACACTGTGAATTCAACAATAGGCTGAAACATGGCAATGATTGTGAGGATGGTAGAGGAGCAGGGAGTGTTTGTTGTTGTACAGTTATGATTGGAAATGACTTGTGGGCACCTAGCAACAGGTACAAGGACTGGGGTAGCTTAATGAGATTGTGATTGTTGTTATTAAGTGCCGTGAGTCGCTTGCGACTCATAGCGACCCTATGTACAACAGCCCTAAACCCTGCTCTATCCTTTGCCAATCGCACTGCCTCTGACACACCCATCCCAATTATCCCAGTCACTGAAGCAATCCACCTCATAGAGGGTCTTCCCCTCCTGCGCTGTCCCTCCACCCTCCCAAGCATGATGTCTCTCTCCAAGGACCTGTCCCTCCTTACAACATGTCCAAAGTATGTCAGACGAAGCCCCAGAATCCTTGCCTCCAAGGAGCAGCCTGGTTTAACCCTCTCCAGGATGAATCTGTTTGTTTTCTTGGCAGTCCATGGTACATTACTCTTCTCCAGCACCACAGCTCAAAGGCATCAATTCTCCTTCTATCCTCCCTATTCATTGTCCAACTCTCTGATGCATAACAAGTGATTGCAAAGACCATGGCCTGTATCAGATGCACCTTAGTCTCCAGAGACACTGTTGCTCTTGAGTACTTTGGAGTGGTCTCTAACAGACTTTCCCTTCGCCATGTGTTTTTTAATTTCCTGGCTGCTGGAGCTAAGAGTGTTGACCGTGGAGCTGAGCAAACTGAAGCTGTGAACAATCTCAATCTCTTTGCCATCCATCCTGATGCTGCCAATTGGTCCAGTGGTGAGAATCTTTGTCTTTTAAAAAAATCTTTGTCTTCTTGACATTGAGCCTCAGTCCATACTGAAGGCTGCAGTCCTTGACCCTCTGCAGCAAGTGCATGAGGCCCTCCTCAGTTTCAGCAAGCAGGGTTGTGCCATCTGCATAGCGCAGATTGTGAATACAATCCTAACACCACTTTTCCTCATAGAGCCAGCCTCTTGGATAATCTGCTCTGCATACAGGTTGTAAAGGTATGGAGATAGGACACATCACTGGCATCCACCCATCCCAATTTTGAACCATGCAGTGTTACCCTGCTCTGTTCTGACAACTGCCTCTTGGTCCAAGTATAGGTTTCACATTAGCATGATTAAATGTTCTGGAATTTCCATTCTTCTCAGAGTCAGCCACAGTTTGTTATGATCCATACAAACTCCTTTGCATAATCAATGAACACTGATACACATTCCCCTGGTACTCCCTGCTTTCAGCTAAGATCCATCTAACATCAGCTACAATATCCCTAGTACCACGACCCCTTCTAAACCCAGCCTGGACTTCTGGCAGTTCTCTGCTGATGTGCTGTTCCAGTTGTTTTTGGATAATCTTCAGTCGAATCTTGCTTGCATGTGAAATCAATGATATTGTTCTGTAGTTTCCACACTCTGTTGGGTCACCCTTCTTTGGAATGGTAACAAATACCGATCTTTTCCAGTCAGTTGGCACAATGTATTAATTGCAGTGTGTCTGTGGTAACCCCAACCCGATTTCTAGCTAGAGCTTCACTTTCACTTTGACATTCAAGTCCCATGCACTGGTTATCAAGCTTTGTGTGGCTGTGGCTCCTGCATGCCTCCGAGGATCCTTCTGGGTCTGGTAACCTGTCTCCAGAACTGAGGCAGGCATACGGCTCATTGCCATGACGACTACAGCCTGCCTCAGTTTGAACAGGAAGTAGCAGTATTCTTAGCTTTATGTCTTCTGTATTATTCTAACATTTTAATTATAAATTTATCACTTACTGCTAGTTGCCTTTGTGGCCCAGCTCCCAGACAGTAAAGAGTTAATGCTGTGATTTCTTGGAAAAGGAAAAACTGGGATGGTCCCAGATTCAAAAAGGGCCAGCTATTCTAGAAGAGATGCAGCTTCTAAGCTGTAGAGGTTATCTCCTTAGATCATTCTCAGGTTCTAAGAAGAGATGATCAGAGTCAGGGAATTCAGTTCTTTGTAACAATTATCTTGTCTCCAGAAATCTGGATTCTTAACTCAGAACACAACATGGTAATTTGGAGCTGGTCATCTTGCCCAGGCTGTGGTTTTGACAGCAGATTGGGGAAAAAGTCACTGGGATTTCATTATCCAAAGCCAAGTCAGTTGGGAGGATGCCAGCACTAGGTAACTAGAAATTTGAAGGAAAGAGGCTTGTCTGCAGTGAGCCACCTTAACAGGTGGCCTAAATACACTCTATGGTCTTCAAGAGACAACAGAATATGCTGTCCAGAGCAAGGAAATGCCACAAGCAAAAGATGATCATGGTTGATTCAAGTTTAAATCAACCACCGAAACTAGCCTATACAACAGAAGTACTATCCAAGCACTGCTGTTTTCTATCCCCATACAGGATGGGGTGGGGGGTGGGGGGGTAGAAGACATTTTGTCTTCCGTCTCGGGCCATTGACCACTACTCTATTCAGGCTTGGGCATTTCAGCAAGGCACAACAACTATACACTGAAGTCTCCCCAGAAGGGCTGTTGTTATGTGCCATCTGGATCCTGGCTAAAATGGTTTCTAGTGGTGTATCTCTGCATGAAATAGGACAGGGCCCTTTTACAAGGCAAAGCAGAAGTAGAGGGACCAAAATTTACTCCTCCTCTTGGGGAACCACATAAGGTTTTGCAATCTAGAAGCTGATGTTTCTGGAACTCTCTTTTCCAGTAGGTACATGGTGTATATTACAGTGTTGTTTTAGCTCTGCCTCTTGGTAACATGCTTGAATGAGCTATAGGACCTGCCCAGTTGGAGTCAATGTTGAGGGTTAACCTTAAAGGAACCCGGATGGCCTAGTGGTTGGACACTCCTGTTCTGTAAACTGTTGAGTTGCAATCAACGGCAGTGGGCTCGAACTTCTGAGAGTGAAGGGCACTATTTCCTTTAAACAGAAAAAAAATCTGAGTATCAAGTTATCTCCAAATTGTCTTCCTTCAACAAAAGTGACTGGAGAATGTAGGGACTTTAACGGCACTCTGGTTATTCAGATAGAGGTCTTCCCGGAAAACGTGTGGGTTACAAAACTTCCAACAGGGCAGAAATCACGAAAGACTACGGAATTCACACTATACACCTTCTCCCCCAAAAGTTATCTCCAAGAAACCTCTTTTCTCCAAAAATACTTAACATTAAAGTGCTTATTAACTATTGTTACCCCCCACTTGAATATCAATGGCTCAGGAAACTAGTCTGTGTTACAGTCATAATGTCTTCCTTGTAGAAAAGGTCTGATGCATGGCCTAAAGCAGGTTACTGAACAGATGATTTCACAGAATGATCTTAATGGAATGAGCGAAATCTAAGACAGTTTATCAAACACTCTCAATCCGTGCTCAAGGGTGGGCACCAGCATCCCTGAGAACTTGCTGCAAAGGCAATTTCTTAGCACTCACTCCAGATCCACCGAAACAGAAGCTATGAGGAATGAGGGTACCAGCAGCTTGTTTGGTAACAAGCCCACAGTGATCCTGGTCCAAACTGAAGTTTGAAAACTACTGTTCTTAATCCCATCTGGTAGAATTATTCAACAAAAAGAACCCGAGTAATCTCTGGGGTTGATGGTGCATGTTCTACCATTCTCAAAAAAAAACAAAACAAAACCAGTTTTCATTTGGTTTAGTTTGAGGATTCTTACTCTTCTTACCCTTAATACAGCAAAGGAATATATGAGACTCGCCAGTTCTTACTATGCTACAGGAATGGTTGGGCACAGGCTAGAGGGCAAAGTTCAGTCTGGCCTTCTGAGAAGTTAGGTGGGCATTTCACGTCCCTACAGACTCTGAGTAAGTTCTACCTCATTAAGTTCACATGCATATTGAAGACAATTACTTTCTGTTGATTGCACAGTTCAACTGATAACTACTTAAGCACTCTGAAGCATCTCTGAAAGTGCCAAGATTTCCAGAGTCTTCTGTCCTTCAACACGGGGCTGTCAAAATTAAATCCTAACATCCTCTAACGTCCCAAGTGAATCTACTCCTCCATCAAATGTGCATGAATATTACTCACCCTTCATGTTAACTATGTAAACAGATTGTGGGCAAGGTCCTGTGTTTCTTAAGCATAAGCAAGCAAGCAAGCATCATGAAGGCTCAGTCAATCCTAAATTCTGACTAAAACAAGTTGGGGCTGATTATGTAGGTTTTCCGAAGACACAGCAAGAAATGTATGTGTGAATGCAGAGAATGGGACTAGAACTCAGACACATGGTGTTCCATTTATTCTCTGAAAAAGATCAGCTTTCCTGATCCATTTCTTTCATGTCTCACAATCCTTTCCACTCATTCCCCCCAAAATAATTACACACTAAGAACACACATTCATACAAAAACCATGTATAATTCCCCCCCTCACAAAATCGGGTGGCTCTATTTCAGGAACGAAACTAGATCAAAGACATGAAAGGAAGAAAAAGTTTCCACTGAGAATGAAACACAACAGTGTTGAGGATTCAGTCAGTCTGCAGAATTATTACCAGTACAGTAAAAATACTTCCACCTGGATCTTTGAAACTGGAAAGCGATCACATTAAAAACCTGAGGTTACAAGGGACCACAGTGTGAACCAGAATTCCATTTCCTTCTAGGACCCGGGGGGCGGGGGGGAGAAGAGGTTAAGTATTTGGGATGAATTTCCTTTGGGGAAGACTGGCAGGAAGGAAGGATGGAAAGCCCTGGCCATTCTCAAAAGGCACTGGGGTCTCTCTGGAGGCAAATGTATCAGAATTAAATTCCAGGAGGGATTAGCTCATGCCTGTCCAAATCAAGAGTCAGAACAACACATAAAGGAATGTGGTTTCCTTGGGTCCAGGACTTTCAAGGTGACCAGGACCCTCTGGCTAAAGGCAACACTTGAGGGTCTAAAGGCAAGTGTCAACTGTGCGTTTTTGTTGTTGGGTCCCCCCCTTTTCTGTATTAAGGGGAAAAGTTCTAAGGTGTTTTAGAAACACCTCCCTATACCTTCTCACATGTAAAGCTGTACAGAGTATATGGAAAAAGATATAATCCATATTGCATTCTAAATAATGAAACTACCACTTGAGAATGTGAAGTGAACAGGCGCTTTGGAAACCAAACTTGACTAAAAACTCCCTTTCCCCATGAGTGAAAAGAGTGAAGGGGGGCAGGGGGAATGAAGAGAGGGAGGAAAGGATGAGAGGAGAAAATCAAGAACTCAAAAGTCACTCAGTGAGTGGGCTAGAAATGGGCTCAAATTAAGGCAGTTTGCGGCTCTTACTCTGGAATGGCATCCCCTCCCAGCCTGAGCACCCCAAACTTCAAAGCATGATGTTCTGACTACCAAGTGAGCTCCCCGTCCCCGCCCCCCACCCCCGCATCTCCCTGGCAACCCGCAACCAACCCTGTGATAGATGGAATGTGAGACCTCAGAGAGGAAAGGAAAAGGTATGAGAGGCTGCTGGTCCTGCCCCACTTCTCCAATCTCAGCCCAAAACTCAAAGTACCGCTTCACTACATTCCACTCACCCTGGCTACTGCAAGAGGTAGTTTGGGGACTTGCACTCCCAGCCATCCTAACCCAGTTCCAGAAGCTAAAATGCTAACACTATCTACCTACTTATTATTACTTTTCTCTTTAAGGGCTTTTAAAAAAAGGGAGGGAAAAATGCATACAAAGCAGTAACAGGATAGATTCAGGGATGTCGGTCACCCTAGGACCTCAAACCTTTCCTAGCTAGCCCAGGGGATTAAAGCATATCTTCCCAAATTCGAATCCTCAGAGCTCCCACTGCCCCCAGAAAAACAAAAGACCCACCCCCAGCCAACAAACCATCTGCATAGAAAATCCGAGCCAGCAGGCCTGGGGAGGGAGCGGTCTCCACTGCGGGCTGTGCTCCTGCCATGCGCAGCAGGACAGTCTGCAGGCAGCGTGGAGATGCTCACGAGGGAACAGAATTAGTGGGGTCCCCTTTCCCCCTTCTCGTGGCATTTTGGTGCATCTAAGTGTGGCAAGTATGTCAGGAGACTTCACTATCAGCACCATTCTTAGCTCAGATAAGCAGAAATAAGGTCACTTATAATGCCTTAAAGTTTGTCCCCTGTGGTCATCCCCTGCTCATCACCAATCTTTTTTTTTTTTTTGGTTCCTGTTAACTTAGGATGCTCTTTTAAAACAATAAAGACAACAGAAAGGGGGGAGGTAATGATCATAAAAAGCATCATCAATAAAGGCAAACGACATAGGAAAAAATTCAGAAGAGCAAAAATCATAAAGACAAATAGCATACTAATGTTGACAGGACCTACAGAGAAACAAACTGGCAACCCATTCCCCAGGAGGACAGGGGAGATACTGGGTGCTTTTAGGATCAGTAGGGCACACTTGTGACCACAGGCTTCTCCTTAAGAGCTGACTGAAGACTTGGCACAAGAGGTGTCAGAGCACAGGGGGGCTGAGAGGAAAGGGGAATGGGAGACAAGGGACACGTGCTTGGGGCTATGAGAAGAAAAATCCTGAAGAACCCAAGGGAGTTGAGGAGCACAAGTCTTGTCATCCCCACTCCAGCTGGTGGCGCTGGGCATGGCCATTCCCTCTGTCCTCCAGGCTAGGGAGCAGCTGAGGCTGGTGGGCCTGGAGCAGGCGGCGGAGGGACCCCATCTGTGGGTGGCGGTGGCTGCTGCTGCTGTGGCGGAGGGGGATCTGCAAACACATCGGAGAGAAACTCTTCAGAGCTGGAAATGCAAAGGACTCAGGAAGAATGACATGTGAAGTAATGTCCTTTTGTTACATGGTCTTTGTGAGACAGGTCACTTTGTGAGACCCTCCCTCCTGGTCACTGGTCAGGGTCTACACCTTAGTCTGATGGCCAGAGAGACTAGGTTCTCTATCTCTTTCAAGTCTCACCCTTTCTAGAATCACTCCAGACCGTTTCAGAACTTAATTACACAATTTTATTGTATTTTAATAGTTCTCCCTGCTAATTTTATCTCTCAATTAAATAAAAAGCTCTTTCCTGGGAGAAGCTAGTCTCTTATTTTTCTTTCCTCTTCCAGTGCCTAACCTAGGTGGGCACCAAACAGATTATAAGTAACTTGATGATAAACTGTCTCTACTAGAGCCAGCGAGCTTTGATTCCCTGGCAGCTGTGGACAAGCTGGACTTCCTGGAGGCACCGGCTCCTGAACTGCAGTCTTTGGGTTTTTGGCAAAAACTAGGTCAGGTCCTGAAGGAAACAATTAGTCTGAGTGTTTTGGGCTTTTTACTATTTCAACATCAGCTGCTTTAGCAAACAAAGGAACCCTAGAGATTATTTAATCCAGGGTTTTAACTACTCCTCTGGATTTTGCCAGCTATGAAATGGAGGGAGGGGGAAAAGATACTGTTGCTCACTGATCAACTCACCTCACCTCACATCCAGGAGGCTTCTATAAAACTCCTAGGTTCTTAAAAAAACTCTGAAGTCTAATGAATGGATTTTTCATTTATAACTGTAGGAAACTGAGGCCTGATGAGGAAATACCACTCACTGAAAGTGATCAACCCATTATTCTGGAGCCATTTACTTCTTTTCAACACTATGGCCACAAAGGTTTCTGTACAGAGAGTAGCAAGCAGGAGCTCCCTATCTGTGGACTACATTGGACCAGTTAAAGCAGCAACAGGCGTGAGACGTCTTTTCGCCCTGTCCACACACTTTGCCATTCACGTCTCATGGGCTGCGTCCCGCGAGTCTGACCCAAGAGGACTACATGGTCCTCTCTATCTGCGTACCTGTTCATCAGCACTGCTGAGATGCATGGATGGAAAGTCAAACCTGCGGACCACTAGGACCTCCCAAACCACTGCACGTCAGCAGGCTGGGTTAAATGCAAAGACAGGAGGATAGCGAAAAGATTCCTTCCCTTGTCTCAAGTTCTTCCTGATAGCCTCAAAGGACAATGTCCCAACGTGCTACTTACACATGCCATTAGGTGCTGTGAGAGGTACCCGTGGGCCTAAGATGTTTCCTGGCATCGGAGGCATACCGGGTGGTGGAGGGCCACCCCCAGAGGGGTGGATGTTGGCTGCAACAGTGGGAATCATACGGCTTGGCATAGGCTGGCCTGGCATCATGGAACCTGGGCCTGGTATCTGACCTGTGAAAGAAGATTTAAAGCTTTGTAACAGATTTAAAATATTATACAACAAAAAAAGAACTCTGGTGGCCTAGTGGGTACAGTCACATTACCAACTCAAAAGTAGGAAGTTTAAATCCAGCAGCTGCTCCGAGACAGCAGTCAGCCCCTGGCACTGTCTCAGATTAGGGTTTTGTCATTCAGTGTGCACAACACAACCAAAGGTCACATTTGAAGCAGTTTACCTTCCTCAGTAATCCTGGGTCAGCTGTGACCATCTCTCAGGCAGCCATCTCTGACTGGGTGTCTTGCCTGTACTCATACATCCCCAGCTGTTTGTTGGCACATGCTGTAGAGTCTCTTGCAACCCTATATACAACTGCCCTGAAACCTGCTCTATCCTGTGCCAACTTTACTGTTTCTGACACACCTACCCTCATTAGCCCACTTAATCAATCTATCTCACCAAGTGTCTTCCTCTTTCTCTGTCCCTCCACACTTCCAAGCATGATGTCCCTCTCCAAGGATTGGTCCCGTCTTGCAACATGCCCAAAAGTATGTCAGATGAAGTCTCAGAATCCTTGCTTCCAAAGAGCAGTGTGGTTTCACAATCTCTAGGACAAACCTGTTTGTTCTCCTGGCAGTCCACGATATATTCAACACTCTTCTCTAGCATCACAATTCAAAAGCATCACTTTTCTTTCTATCATCCCTAGTAACTGTCCAGCTCTCTGACACATAGCAAATAACTGCGAAGACTATGGCCTGGATCAGGTGCACTTAGTCTCCAGACTGACATCATTGCTCTTCAGTACTTTGGAGGGGTCCTTGACAGCCGATTTTCACAATGCATTTTGTCTCCTGATTTCCTGACTGCTGGTACAAAAAGTGTTGATTGTGGAATCAATCAAACTAAAACTGTTAATCTCAATCTCTTCACCATCTATCACAATACTGCCAATTGGCCCTGTGGTAAGAGTATTTGTTTTCCTGAGGTTGAGCTTCAATTCATATTGAAGGCTGCAGTCCTTGACCTTGAAGCAAGCACCTCAGGTCCTCAGTTTTCTGCATCTCATCCCCTAAGCTGGCAAAGAAACCATCCTAGTCAAGCCAACTAACCTGGGCTTGTCTAAGCTCAACAAAAAGATGCTGTTCCAGGCTGGGTGCTCCACTACTCAATGCACGTGAGACTGGAAGAGGTGCTACCTGTGGCCTGGCTCACATCCTGGGGCCTCAATCACCCCTCAGATGAGCAGAAACTATGATCCACCTGGGCATCCAACTCCAACATTCTGCTGGACCGGCAAGTACACTGTCCTAAGCCAGACCCCTTTCCTCAACCCACCACAACAATGCCAAGAGCACCAGTCATGAGCACACATCAGCCCCACTGGCAGTGCTGCCATTCTTTTCGTTTTCCCACAGCTTTTGGTGGATGTTTGTTTTATAGGCTGCTCTAGTGGTTCCCCCTTCTTATTTTTCTTACCTGCTTTCTCCCCGTTTTCTCTAGCCAGTCTTTATCCCTAACTCTTCCTTTCTTCTTTTTTACCTGGATCAGTTTTAGTTTTTTAAATTTTAACTATCCAAGCTTGTTTTGGGGTTGTTTCCTTTTTCCTCTATCCCATTTGATAATAGACAAAAACATCCACCTCCTGCAGCTTCACCCACCGGACAAGATCATCCATGATACAGAGTGTCAGCGACACCAACTAGCCCAGTCTGCCCGCAACAGTGAACAGAGACACTCCTCCATCTTCAGTCACACCCCACAGAAGACAGGTGGCAGAATACTGAGTTATCAACTAGACAGCAATGCAACAAACTCACAATGCTCAACAAGAATAAACTGACAATACATGCACCCATGTTGACTGTAGCATTATTTACGATGGCAAAGAGTCAGAAACTATGGTACAGTCACCCAAAGGAGTATTATGCATCACCAAAACAACATTAATAATTTGTGAAATCCTATACAACATGGATGATATTTAGAATAAAGAATGCTGACACGACACACAGGAACTTTCATATACTATTATTATGATCTGGGAATGTAGACAATGAAACATGTCTTATTTTCAATAATTAAAAGTGTTACTGTGTAGAAAAAAAGAATAAAGAATGCTGAGTGACATTAGTCGGTCACAAAGGGCAAGGGTGACATAAAAACAATATTATAAAAAGCATTATTGTTAGGGGAGCTCTGGTGGCCTAGTGGCAAGGACCTGCAACTACAATCCCAGAGGCGCACGGTTCGAATCCACCAGTTGCTCTGGCGGGGAAGGAGGGACAATTTCCTTCTGTACCAGTCAGATCTGATTTGACGGTGCACTCACACAAAAATAATAAAAATAATAATAAAAAAAAGCATTATTGTTGTTATGTGTTGTCGAGTCGCTTGCGACTCATAGCGACCCTATGTACAACAGCCCTAAACTCCGCTCTGTCCTGTGCCAATCGCAATGTCTCCTACACTCCCATCCCAATTATCCCAGTCACTGAATCAATCCACCTCATAGAGGGCCTTCCTCTCCTGTGCTGTCCCTCCACCCTCCCAAGCAT